TATTGCACTGTGTTGTACAGCTGAAACTAATTCTAAAAAATGTGTATTTCATAATAAAAAATAATTTAATAAAAAAAAAAGAAAGAAAAACAGAATGCAATGCTGCTTCTCCATCAGCCAAACTTCTGTGGCTTCTGATTCTTCATAAGGGTGGTAGTGGCAGGTCCTAGGAGGTTAGACACATCTACCAAGAGGAAGGTCTGGCTCTGTGTCAACAGCCAGGTAGGTTGACCATCTGATGCATATGAGGTCATACAGCTGGGAAAGACGAAGAGAAGTCACCTGAAGATGACATCACAGTGCTATCAATAAGTTCTAGGACTTATTCCACATAAAGGGTTTGTTTTAGTGTTGGAACCTCCAAAGCATGCTGAAAGGCAACATTATGACCAAGAGGGAGGCACACAAGATCATTAAGGCCACAGCAAGAAGAAAGCTATCAGAGTCTGGGTGCCAAGTGCCTCCAGGTCCCTCTCGCCCCCATGGTAGCCAGTGGCGGAGAAGACATGACACCTAATCTCCTTACCTGGACCCGTGCGAAAACACACAGCTCCATTCTCCTGAGGGTATCTGGGCTCTTCAAGGTCAACAAGGGCCCTGTGACTTTGCAAATGGGCACCAGCCATCAGCATCCAAATAATGAAATAAAAATTCTGAATATGCTCGGCCAATCCTCATCTCAGATAAGAAGCAATAAAACTAAAGATAAATAAATGTGGCCCTTCTGAAATCTAGAGTTAATCTTACTTCCAATTACTTGGGAAGTAATCTCCCTGACCATTAGAAAGGTCTAACTTAAAAGGAAAAAACCCACTAACTTATAATATGACCAAAAGTACTCTTATTGTGAGCAGAGCACAGATCAGAGACTGCTCCTTATCTCCTAAGGGTTCAAAGTCACTTTAATATGAGACAGAATTTGTCCAGGTCTATTAAAAACAATCAGAAAGCACAGGATTTACTACATGCTTTTTTTCTTGAAAAAGACAGAAACATAATCTTAATGAGTTGGTTTACAAATTCCAGTAGCAACTGCTCAACTCTGCCACCAAAGTGCAAAAGCTGTTACAGACACTACTGAATGGATGCGCATAGCTGTGTTCCCACAAAACTTTATCACAAATAGACACAGCCTGTAGGCCAGCCCACAGGCCACAGTCTGCCCAGCCCTGTTCCACAGGAATCTTCATTGTCCTGCCTTAAGCTATGGCCTGCACCTCTCCTCTCCAGCTGACCTGGTCCTCAGCACCTGGAGGGCAATGTCTAGGCACACAATGAAGCCAGGCAGTGGGGATGATTCCTTTCTTTTTCCTGCCCCATTCTTGATGGAGGGTGACTTTCCAGTTGAGACACGACACCCTACTAAGAGCTATGACTACCAAGTGGTCAGACCACCAAAGCAGCTCACAAGAAGAGCCTTGAAACTGATTCAAGGAAGCGATGCCTGGTCTTACCAATGAGCAGTCCTGGGCCTCATGTAGCCCACAGCCTTACACAGGTCTATGACTACATCCTTAGGATTAGGAGAGAAAGAAGGTAAGGTGGCTCCAAGGCACCACGACCTCCAAACACACAGCCACGCCCCTGCCCCTTTAGGCCCCTCTTCCCTCTTCTATCAAGGGAAGACCTGGAATTGTCATCTGCCCAAAGGCCCACCTGCTGGTACCCACCAGCAAAGAAATAAAAGAAAATGCCCCTAGGAAAAGAACAGTGAAAAGGGAAGAGGCAGGCGAGAAGAGCAGCCAGAAGGGAAGAGGGATACTATGTGAGGATATCCAGAAGTCCCATTCAGAAGCTGTGTCCTTCTCGAAGCTTTGCCCAGGTCCTGCCTGATGGCTCCCTCCTCTGATTTCCCACCATCCCTGGGGCCCCTCCGAGATTACAATCCATGCTGCCTGACTGGCTGTGATTCCTGGTAGTCCTCCCAAGCAGAGGGGGAGTTCCCTGAGGGTGCCTCACTCATTCATTCAACAAGGATTTAATGAGCAGCCTATCAGGCATGAAGGACACAAAACTCATAAAACAGACAAAGTGCAGAGGGAGCAACAGCTGGGGGCATGCCAGTGTGCTTAGAGCAGCCAAGAGGCCAGAGAGTGGGCAGGGAGGAAGATGGGAGCAGGGGAGCTCTCCCAGGTAACAGAGCCTGGGGGTCACAGAAAAGGCTCTGGACTGTGCTCTGAGTTTCTCTCCTGAAATGTCTGGAGCAGAGGAATGACAATATCTAACTGCAGTCTGCTACCCCATAGAAAACTAGCCATAAGGCACCATTTGGGTTGAACTATGTCCTCCAAAAAGATGTCCATGTCCTAACCCCTAGTACCTGCAGATGAGACTTGATTTAGAAACAGAGCTTTGCAGATATAAAGATGTAAGTTAAGATAAGGTCATAATGTAGTAGGGTGGACCCTTAATCTATATTATGACTGGTGTCCTTATAAAAAGACACACATAGACAGAGACACTCAGAGGCGGCCATACGACACTGGAAGCAGAGACTGGAGTGATGATGGGGCAAGCCAAGGAAAACCAAAGACTGGCAACAACACTAGAAGATGGGAGAAAGGCATGGGATAATCTCTCTCTCAGAGCCTCCAGAACAAACCAGCCCTGCCAACACCTTGATTTCAGGCTTCTGGCCTCCAGAACTATGAGAGAATACATCTCTGTTGTTTTTTAAGCCACCCAGTTTGTGGCACTTCATTACAGCAGCTCTAATAAAGTAATACAGGAAGCAAAGGGGGAATCAGCCAAGGAGAGATGCTGCAGGCCTGGGTGAGGGTGGCAGGCCTGAAGGAGGTGAGATACGGTAGGATTCACGTTATGTTTTTTTTTAAGTATAGTTGACATACAGTATTGTATTAGTTTCAGGGGTACAACATAGTGATTAGACATTTGTATGCCTTATGATATGATCACCACACTAAGTCAAGAAACCATCTGTCACCATCCAAAGTTATTACAATATTGTACTATATTCCCCATGCTATCCATTACATTCCCATATTTATTTATTTTATAACTGAAAGTTTGTACCTCTTATTGCTCGTCAACTTTCTTACCCATCCCCCTACTCCATTCCTTTCTGGCAATCATCAGTCTGTTCTCCATCTATGAGTCTTGTTTCGGTTTTGTTTTGGGGTTTGTTTGTGTTTTTTTTATTTTTAGATTCCACATAAGTGAAATCATGCGGTATTTGTCTTTCTCTGTCTGACCTATTTCACTTAGCATAGACTTTTGTGTGTTCTGACAAGTGCCCACAGATTCACTGCCATTCAGCACGTGGAGTGTGGGAGAGAGAAATCAAGGATAACTTCTAGGTTCCAGTGGAGTTACCATAACAGAGATGGGCTGGCTGTGAGGGCAGGTTTGGGGGAAGAGGTCAAGAGTTTGGTCTTGAATATGTCTAGTATAAGATGCCTATTAGACTTCCAATTGGAGACACAGGAGTCTGAAGTTCAGGAAAGAGGTCTGTACTGGAAACACAGATAAATGTCGGTCAATACAGAGAGGGCATGAAAACTAAGGTAGATGCCAACCCCAAGGGCGAGGAGTGTGACGGGAGGGCAGAGGTCCTACGATGAAGCCCCTGGACACCCCAACTACGGAGATGGGAGACAGAAGGAGCTAGCAGAGATGCGGGAACCGAAGGGAGGGACCTAGCTGGGGTCCCACGTGCTGGCCTGACCGCACACAGCTCCCCTCCGGGTGGTGAAGGTCCAGACCGACCCTCCGTTCCTGAAGACATCACAGGAAGAGTTCTGGGGAGCCCCAGGGGCCCCACGGACCCAGGAGACCAGGGGCCCACGCCAGGGCCGAGACCCCTCGCTCACCCAGTCATTCCCGCCCTCCACTGGCCGGGCCGCCTAGGGACCGCCCCATTCCCCGCGTCCTCTCTCCCCTCTCCTCCACACCCCCGCCTTCGCCCCGCAGACACTCACGTAGCGGCTGCACATGGCCACGGCAAGGTTGCGCAGGTGCGGCGTGGCTCCCACCCAGAGGAAGAGCGAGTCCGTCAGCCGCATGACGTGAAAGTGGACCAGCTGCTCCCACAGCCTCGCGCTGAAGTTGTGCAGGGAGACTCCCCCACCGGCGGAGGCCCACTGCCCCTCCATGCCGCCCGGCGGGCCCCCGACCCACACGCGCCGCGACTCAAGACCCCGTTGCGGTCGCTGTTCCGGCTAGACCTGAGCAGGAGAGCGCCGAGCGGCCGAGTGCGCCTTCGCTTTCGGTCCTGCGAAGTGGGTGGGGCCTATGGCGTTCGTGGGCGGGCCCCTAAAGGGGCGTGTTCGGGCAGCTCAACTCCTGGGTGCAGACGGAACCCCGGCGGCGCCATCCTGCCGGCTCCTCCGCTCGCTCTTGTTTGTTGTTGGATGTTGGAGGGAAACCCGCTCTTGTCACCAGCCCGGGCAGACATATACCTCCGCCAGGAGAACTCGTCCTCGCTTGTTCCCTTCCTCCGCTACCCCAGTTAGTGCAGACTAGCAGCACTGATGTGCTGGAGCTAGCTGCAAAGTCTTCCCAGGTCGTGACACGTCGCCCTACAAAGACTATCCCGTTTTAATGCCGTATATCCTTAGGCACCCGAGAGCGGCCACCTCCTATCATACCGCCTTGAATGAATTTGGATTACCAAAATCTTCCTCCTCCTGGCAGCCCTGTAACTCTAGGGAAGCCCTGAACGTAGATAGCCTTAAGAATGGCAGCGATGTTGGGAGAAAGCTTCTAAAAAGGAAAAGCGCGTGGACTAGGTGTGGGAGGATGAGCAGGCATGCTTATGGATTCAGACCCCACACACAGGCAGCTGCAGTTGGGTGCAAGCCTTGGGCTAACCTTTTAGCGTCTCTGAGACTGTTTCCTCATCTACAAAATAGAAATAATAGGCACCTCTCAGAGAAGTGGAAAAGATTATGAACAAGTACGTGGCAAGCACAGTGAATGGTGGCCCTTATCCCTGAGGGACCCTTTAATTTTAGTCACTTTGAGACACTTCAGAGTTGAAATAAGGAAGCCTTCAGTGTGTTAAAAGAGATTGCAGTAAAAGCAAATGGCCCATTTTGTCAGATTCTGTTACAACTGACTTGGGTTTTAAGTCAGAACTATCAGTTCTGCTTTTTAAATCTCTAATAGGTCTAAGTTGACTAAATTCAAATTGTAAAGGGTAAGTATTTTTATAGGTTTGTCCTATTAATTATCAATGATTCAGTAATATATTTAATTTTCAAACAGCTTTATTAAGAAATAATTGACAGGGCCGGCCGAGTGGCGCGATGGTTAAGAACTGGCCTGGGACACCAGAGGGCCCCGGTTCGGATCCCACATATGAGGGCCAGTGACACTGCCCTCTACAGCTAAGATGCTGAACAACAGCTCGACCTGGAGCTGGGCTGCCATGAGTCGCCTGCGACGGCCGTAGGCTGCAGCCCCTGTGGCAGTGGGTTGCCATGGGCTACCGTATGTAGCCAGCAGCCAGCGTGAGCGGCCAGCAGCCGCAGTGAGCGGCCAGCAGCCGCAGTGAGCGGCCGTCCAGAAGCCGGCGACTGATCTGCCTCGCCCTGGGAAGAGCGCAATGATGGTGCCAACATGGGCCAGTGAAGCGACGTCCTCCACAACTAGACTGAAGAACAAAAGGACAGCAACTTGTCTGTTTCCCTTCTCCCAATTCCCCAGCACTGTTCCCATCCCCCCAATTCCCCAATAAAAATCTTTAAAAAAAAAAAAAGAAATAATTGACATACAATAACTGCACATATTTAAAGTTTATAAATTGAAGTTTTGACATATATTTAACCCATGAAACCATAGCTACAATCAAGATAGCAAACATGTCCACCATCCCCAAATGTTTCCTCAAGCCCCTTTGTAATTCCTCCTGTCTCTCCCCCAACCACTAGTCTGCATTTTGTCACTACAGATTAGTTTGCATTCTCTAGAGTTTTACATAAATGGAATCATACAGTATGTACATTTTTTTGCCTACTTTTTTCTCATCATAATTATTTTACGATTCATCTAGGTTTTGGGTGTATGAATAGTTCATTCCTTTTTATTGCTGAGTAGTATGCTATTGTGTGACTATACCACTATTGTTTATCCATTCACATGTGTTCATTTGGGCTGTTTCCCATTTTGGGTATTACAATAAAGCTGCTATGAACGTATGTGTACAAGTAAGTATCTGTATAGACATATGCTTTCATTTCTCGTAGGTAAATACCTAGTAGAATGGTTGTGTTATATAGAAGTTATATGTGTAACTTTTCAAAAACCTGACAAACTGTTTCTCACAGTAATTTGCCTTTTAAGTTCTAATGAACCTCAATTCATATTTCACATCATACACAAAAATGAATTCAAATGGTTCATGCACCTAAACATAAAACATCAGACTATAAAACTTCTAAAACAGGAGAAAACCTTTGCGACCTTTAGTTAGACAAAGATCTCATAAATAAAACACCAAAAGCATGATCTATAAAAGAGAAAATTGACAAATTGAACCAATGGAGCATATGATCTCACCCACACCCCAACTCTAATATCCTCTAATGCTTTGTACCCCTAGAAAACAAACAAATCTTTAAAATGGAGAGTTTATATCTAAAGGATTTGAAAGAACTGTCTGGGGAAACTAAATAGTTAACACCCTATTGCCTCACTCTCCTCCCCCACATCCACGCAGTACAAGTTAAAGCATGCTCCTCTCTGCGGCTTCATCTGGGCTCTGAGCATGGCTGGGGAAATCACCTGACCCAGCAGGAATGGGTAACAGCCAGTAATGTCCCTCAATGTCAGCTGCCCCTTAAACACTGTAGGTGTCCTGCAGTCCCTAGATTGTGGCCTCTCTCATTTGCCCTGAGGACTATCCTCTTCAAGCCCTAACCCTACCCAAGTCCAAGTTCAGCAGATGACCCTGCTTCTGATTCTACAAAGAAAAAGAGGTTATCAGGCTTGATTTCCCCAATTCCTTGTCCCTCTACTCAAACCCTCATCTTCATCTGATCCCATTCTTACCTCCTTCTACTCCTCATTACAGTGAAAGATGTCCCTCCTCTTGTCAAAGTTTAATCTGTATATCTACCTGTGCTCTGACCCTACCCTTCTCCATATCCTCAGGAACCTCACTCCATCAACTGTGGTAGACTCTGAGATGTGCCTCCTAGATCCCTTTTCAAGAAAGGACTTCTTGTCCCAGCTACTGGAAATGTTGTTAGCAGAATTCTCCTGCTGTGGCCTCCTTCAGAGTCTGCACATACTTCCTAGGGCAGCCCATATCCAATGACTCATGGAGGTAGCGGAATAAAGGCCAGGCCGTTTTGACCCAATGCAGGACAACTGTGATGGGCCGTTTTCACTCCAGAGCGTCCGTGGGGTCAGCTGAGGCTGACTACAAGGGTAGCATTTACTTTACACCATCAGAAGAAATCAAGGACAGATGATCAGGAGGCTGAGTGCAGTCATCCCAATAAATTCTTATGGTCCCTTGATTAGTTTCTAGACCTAGAATCCAGTATCTGACGAGGTGGCCAGGTCTCCTACAACGCCAGGAAAAGTATACACAGCATGACCACCCAGTCCTTCCCCAAAGGGTCCAATGGCCATTTATTCGGGTAACAATATACTAGGGAAAGAGGAAGACCCAGATATTTCAAGAGTCAGAGTTGGAATTGAGTTCTGGGGACCTGAAGTGTCATCATGGTCCTCCCGGTAGAGTAGGAACATACAGGAACCAGACAACAAATGGAGTCCTAGACAAGGATCCGTTGGGTCTACAGACACTTCTGGGGTTATTTGCCTGGTCCCTGAATATATAATTGGAATAGACATACTTGGAAGTTGGCACAGTTGCCACATCGAATCCTTGTCCTATGGGTTAAGAGCTATCACAGTGGATAAAGCCAACTGGAAGGCTATGACACTGCCCCTTCCCCAGCCAATCAATATTGCATCCAGGAGAGAATGGTAAAAATTAGTGCCACCTTTGGTGACCAAAAGATACAGTCGTGGTGGCCCTCAACATATCCCTACTTCACCACCTGAATCCTGGAAGATGACAATAGACTACCATAAACTCAGCCAAGAAGCAGTACCAATTACAGCAGCCACAGCAGATGTGGTATCTTTGCTAGAGCAATATAATAAGGCCTCAGGTACAAGGTACATGACCACGGATTTGGGAAATGCATCCTTTTCTATTCCAATCAGAAAAAAAGGAGCAGAAACAGTTTGCATTTACATGGGATGGACAGCAATATTTATTTATAGTTTTGCCCAAGACTACGTTAACTCTTCACCTTCTGTCAGAATGTAGTCTTAAGAGACTACTAGACTTGTCTAGACATTCTACATAATATCACATTGATGCATTATATCATTGTCACTTCAGTTTCACCAATGCCTTGTCTTTGGTTCACACCTATGGCCATATGGGAGATCCCATAGAAATAGCTGAAGAATGAGGTAAAAGCCTGAGTTTGGTTTTTGGATGGGTTGGTGTGGAGGTACAAGCTACAAATGGATGGCAGCTGCACTACAGTCTTACTCTAGCATTGCACCTTGTTGTCCGTTTGTGTAGACAGAGCAGTAGACCAAGGTTAGAGTACATATAGACTTGTGGGCAGTGGGGAATGACCTGGCTGGGCTCGTCAAGGACCTGCAAGGAGAAAGACAGGAAGATGGAGGACAAGGAGGACTGGGGAAAGGCATGTGGGTTGAGTGTCCACAAAACATGAATATTATGGTATCATATTATCACCCAGCAGAGAACATCCACCACAGAAATTAAGCAACTAAGTAGACAAAATGATGCAGTCAGTTGCTATTAGTCAGACTTCTATTTTCCACTAAGCCAAGGCTGGTACAGTGGGCCATGAACAAAATAACCATGGTAGCAGAGATGGAGGTTATACAAGGGCCAACAGCATGGAATTCCACTTATCAAAGTTGGTCTTGCTGCTGCTGCCACCAAATGTCCAATCTACAAACAGAGATCTAAGCATAGGCTCTGTTATGGCACCATCCTCAGGGAGAACAACTGGCCACATGGTACCAAGTTGGTGATGTTGGGCTCTTTTCAGCCAGAAGGGCCAACAATTTGTTCTGACAGGAAAATAACCATGTTCCAGGTATGGGATTGCCCTCCCTGTCCACAAGGCCACAGATGGTGCCATTATCCAAGCACTTTCAGAGGGTATGGTCCTCCTGCATGGCATTCTGCATAACATCACATGAGACAGCAAAAGAGGTGGGAG